CGTGAACACAGATGGGCCACTGGCAATAATGTACATTAGCAAACTGATTGCAGCCATGTAGTCACCAAAGCACACTTGACCAAATTTGGTTTATACCAGGACACAGGAATGGTCTACGACAGAAAATCAAGAAATCTAGTTACTGTCAGCAAGAGATAAAAGGAAAAAACCGACATGATCGTGTCATTAGATTCAGGAAAAGCAGAGGGTGAGTTCAACCCCACTCATAGCTGCTTACGGGCCTCTGCCACCACGGCTCCTGCTGCTCAGAGATCTTACCGCAGCCACTGTGATAAGACACATAAAGAAATAAGAGAAATAGGACTTAAAAGAAGAAAACAAGCTCTTGTCATTCGTCGATGACATGACTGTCTGCACAGAAGATCCAGTAAGTTCTTCAGGCGAGTCCCTGGTGAGGACAGGGTGCCGGTGGGCTGGCAGCAGCACTCAGGCTGGCAGTGCCTCCCGGCCGGGTCTGCCAGGGGCTTCCTTGGGAGATGCTCACATCGCTGGAGGGACCAGAAAGACACGAAGTGGCACTAAAACCAAGAAGGGGCCCCAGGTGTGTGAGGCGACAGGTCTTCCTTCAGCATCCAGGGCTGTCTGAGCACCACCCCTGCCTGCCTCTGTCCCGACGTTTCCACGGGAGACCACTTCAGGCAACGCCAAGTCGGGGCAGCGGCTGAGGGAACCCTGGCCCCAGGAGACATGTCCCCCAGGCGCAGCCCCACTCCTGCCCCAGTCGGAGCTGCTGGTGCGGAGCCAGGCAGGTGGCAGGATGCCTGGTGCTCCGACCTGGGGACTCAAGAGGGTTCTCCAGTTTTCAGGTCTATTCACAAGAGATGAGGCGTTGCCAGGCCATCAGCGTCCGTGGGACAAGAGACAGGGCCCCGATACCGCGGCCTCGCAGACAAGCGGAGTCAGCGGAAGCCCGGCCATGCTCGGACTTTAGGTGCTTGAAGGATGCAGCCTCACTAACGAGCACTGGTGACCAGGCAATAAAATGCCTGCAGACGTGAGTGCACATCACAAGAGGAACAGCGTGGAATGTTCCAGAAAGCAGACACTCCCTGGTGAAAAGGGACTCTGGCCCAGGCCACTGTTCATGCAGGGCCTCCCCCCTCGCCCCCTGCAAACTTAGGAACTGCACCAGCCAGAGACGCCATGCGGGCAGGGGGCAGAGGCCACCTTCCAGCGGGTAGGGCAGCTGGGCCGGGCGGGGCCGGTCCGACACGGCAGAGCCACGGGGCCCTCGCGGCCGTCTCCACGGACCAGCGCCACCGCGCCCCCGGCCCCCGCCAGCCCCTCCCTCAACACGAGTCCGAGCGTGCTGGCTCTATGACGCCTTCTGAGACACGCAAACACATCTCTGGGAAGAGTACTCGGGTCCAAATAAACTATGACCTGTGCTCTGAAACCATCACCAGACACTTCCTGTAAAGCATGTGTGTGTACGTGTGTGCATGCGTGTGGACACACGTGTATATCCAACTGTGCTCTTTAGAATATACGCATAAAAGAGGAAGTTAAGTTTTTTAAATGAGGTGGGTCTATGTGCACTAAGACTCCCAAGGAAGTTAACAATCACGTTGCACAGGTGCATGTTGTGACAGGTAAACACAGTTTTAGAAACTCTGTGCAGGTATGTTCTCATGTGTGTTTTGACAAGGTCTGGAAGGACAAACCACAAGCCGTTCATAGTAGTTCCCTCCAGGAAAAAGGGTTGGATTCAGGTGGAGTAAAGAATAAAATTTTGATTATTTATCAGATTTGGTTCTGTGTTTTATTTTTATAAGCACGTATCACTTCTTTGATTAAAATTTAAATATTAACAGAAATTATCTTGCTTGCTTATAAAGCTCCCGTCTTTTGTCTCTGCAGCGGTTACGACAGTCCCACCAATCACGCTGAACACCGGCAAGACTGTTTTCCAAGGAAAACGCTTACCCTGCAGGGGACGCGCCTTCTGTAGACACTACCTGGCAGTCACAGTCTGAGCCCTCTGCTCGGCCCCTCACGTTGCCTTTAGAGCAAAGAGAGCCCGTCCTCAAACTCGGCCCAGGGTGGAGCCGGGCGGGGACTCCCACCGACTCCTCCCTCTGCCCGCCTCCCACATCCCGGCCGCAGGGCCCCTCCCTGAGGGCGTGAGGGCCTTGCACTCAGTTCTGAGTCCACGGTCCACGTGGGCCACGGCGGGGGGGCTGGTGTTTCAGCATCAGTGCCCGAGACAGACTAAGGAAAGCCTTCCGACCATCTTAAACCTGTAAGGAGAGTTGGCGGAAACCAGCACGAGCCAAACCTGCAGTAATCACACAGAAGAGACGCTTTGTTTGTCCTGCGGTTTGTCAGTGAGGGGCCGCAGCCAGCGACTGAGCGCTCTGCCCAGGGCCACGCTGGGCTGGCTCTCAGGAGCGTCAGCGCCTGGGGGTCCACGTGGAGGGCCGCCCCACAGCCCGGGCCCCAGGGCCCTCCCGGCCTCTCCCGCCAGGGCAGCGACGGCTGGGTCCGCAGGGCTGGCGCAGGACGTGACGGCCAGCACGTGCGTCCTCCAGGGCACCACACACGCCCGCCCTCGGGGCAGGGCAGGGGCTCCGAAACCCCAGAGGGGCCACGGGGCAGGCGGGCACAGGCAAAGGGCTCGTCCTCATCGGAAAACACAAATAAGAGCCACTCAGCGCAGAGCGGGAGAGAACTGAGTGATGAGGGCTTTTAAGGTGCTCAGCCCGGCCGGCATTCCTAGTACGAGTGTCAGAGCTCTCCAAGGGGTCGGACCAGGCCGTGGCCACCAGGACGCCGAGAGAGCCCCCCCGCCCCTCACCCACACCCGCCAGCTCCGTGTCCCCTCCGCAGCCATGGGCCGCACAGACCCCACACTGGGCTTTGTAACTCTCGTTGCTCTGACGATTAATGAGGGTGCACGTCCTTCTGGGTGTTTATGAGACATCTGGACGTCTCTGGAGAGGTGCCAGCTCAAGCCTTCAGCAAACAGTTTTGCTTTACACTCCAACACCGGCGACGGCACCTGGGGCGGGGCCGTGCTGCTGCCTCTTCCCTGCCTCTACGAAACGGCAGGTTGTGTGCACATAACTGGAAGTCGTTTCTGTAAACGTTGAGATAACCTGGATGCTGGGTTGTGAATCCGATCTGGGATCGTCCCACAGCTGAAAAGCATAAAGTTACTGGTTCTTTTTCCAGCCCTCAATTGTTACGGAACGTAGAGGCCCCATCCTCAGAAAAGACGGAGATGAGACTGATACCCGCCTCCAACCTCCCAAATTCCATCCTTCTGGGAGAGGGCTGCCTGAGAGCCAGTGACCTGGGCCATTCTCCCCCCGGAAACAACCCCCTGCCGACGACATGCCTGCCTTACACAACGCAATACACTTCACAGATCAAAAGGCTCCTGGTGCCACCCACAGCTCCCGCGCCGCCGCCCGGGGCGAGGGCAGTCACAGGAAATTCTCCTTTCTGCCCAGTATAGTTGCCCCGTTGCCAGGTGATAATCAAAAGGGAAGGAACACACGGAGCACTCAATTTTAGGATACAATGTAGTTTGGCTTTCTTTTGCACAGAATAGCAGCTTGCAACAGTGTAACAGTGGAAACCATAACTGTGTACTGAATCAGTAATGAGCAAAAAAGGCGACTACACCTTTGCTGACTCAGGACGTTGGAGACGCTCAGAGAACGCAGGGGCTGAGGGCCGTCGTGGGTCTCACATCTGTCACCGGTTATCCGATGAGCACTCATAATAAAACATTTAATTATAAAGAGACACTAAGCAAAGTAATTTTAATTTGAACACTGAGGAGGAACAGCGGTGCCATTCATGTATTCAAGCAACACGACTGGTAACCAGGCAGGAACATAAACACAAAGCAGGAGACCGGCCCTGGGCTGCGCTGACCCTGCCCCACCCCAGGGGCTTGTCCTTGAGTGACGAGCAGCTCCCAGCACACGGGGTCACCATGACAGGAGGTGGAACTGCCCGCCCACCGAGAGCCGGGGACCACGAGCTAACCGTGTAAACTGCCAAACAGAACGGCTGGACTCGCTCCCTGCAGAAGGGGTGCTAGGAGACAGATGTTGCCCGGGCCCAAGAAGCAGCAGCAGGAAGAGGCCTCCTGGTCGAGGCTGATTAAGACAAAAGGAGCCAGTCGCTCAGGCACCTCACGCAGCAGATCCCAAAACGTCTGGGTGCTGGTGCAGAAGGGAGGTGGTCAGCATGGGCCCTAAAAGGCCTGGGCTGCCCAGAGTCAGGACACGGAGGACAGGAGAGCATCCGGGTCACTCGAGGTCACTCTGTGGGACAGGCTCTGTCCTCAGTCCCAGATGAACTAGGGACACCTGGTTAACACTGGGCTTCCCAGGGGAGCTCCCTGCAGGAGCAGAAGGCTCCGATGGCAAGCAGGGCTCTCCTTCTCCTTCTCCTGGAAAACTGGATGTCTGAACTGGGCAGCTGCGTCCATCTCAAAGGCACGTACGTGCATGACTGAATCACTGTGCTGCGTGCAACCAACCATGCTTCCATTAAAAGAGAGACAGACAGAAAGACTCAGGGACTTCCAGGTCTGCGGGGTGATGCCCACAGACGCCCCTACAGGTGCCCCCCTGCAATTTTAGCTCGTCCCCCCAGGAAAGGACAGAAGGGGAAAGAAACTGCTCTGCCTGAACTTTTTCATTTGGATTTGGGCCAAATGGGAACTGATTACAATAAATATCCTTTGACTGGAGGAAACCTTTAAAGTATTCACCCCTTTAAGAAAATCAACCAACTACGCACTAAGGCCGGACCGCGCCCCAAGGGCCCCTTCCATGTCATCGAAGCCGGATGGGCAGGCCTGGCTCTCCAGGCGGCAGACTTCCATGTCTGCCAACAGAGCAGGTCCGGGGCGCGGGGCACGGCCCACTCCAGCGCTGCTCTGGGGGACAGAAATAAGCACACGCACGTGGACACGCACACACACGTGGCTCAAGCGTCAGGCGCCTCCTCTAACTCACCGCGGCACGGGGGCAGCGGGGCAGCGGGGCAGAGTCGGCCTCAGACGGCTCCGACTTGAAGGCCCGAGAGTGAAAGGCACAAACACAGACGCACCTGCGCAGGGAGGACACAGTGTGAGTGAGCCACGCGCAGTCACGTCACATCAGAGCCTGCACCTCAGGGAGACAGACAGTGACGGATGTGCCTTGTTTCCCGACGTACCCAACCGGCCACCGACAAGCAAACGGCAGGGACAGCCTGTTTGGGCCTTTCCGAGCACTGTTACTGCCCCCCGCCTCATAAGGAGGCCCAACAGATGGCCCGTAAATGAACAAACCAGAGAGGCCCAGAGGTCACGCCCCAGGAAGGACTGCAAAGCAATTTCAGCCTCCCCGCGGGCTCCTGCCTCCCACAGAGGAGGCCGAGCAGACTGGCCTCCAGGCCGGGGGCCCTCGGGGCCCTGGGTCCCCGCACAGCGACCTTGCGGCCTCAGCTGCACCCCGCTGCCCCCCAGGCCCCCGAACCCGGCAGGACGGGCTCTCAAGACCAGCCCAGCCCTCCTGCCACGCAGCTTGGCTGCAAGCAGCAAGCCAACTCCCAGCCTGCTGGCTAACTGGGCCCTTGTTTTTGTTCGCTTGTTTTAAGTCGCGGTCAAGTCACCACGTCTAAGTGCACAGCGCAGTGGCATCAAGTACATTCGCAGTGTGTGCACCCATCACTGCCGTCCACCACAGACCCTGTCCCTCTTCCCAGACAGATTCGGCCCGCAACACTCGCCCAGCGCCTTCCAACCCGGGAACTTGACAGGAAGGTGCAGTCGCACGGTGTTTGTCCTCTCGTGTCTGGCTTTTTCCCCTCAAGGTCCATCCATGCTGTAGCGTGGGTCCGAATTTTGTTTTCAAGGCTGAGTCATATTACACTGCGTGTAGAGACCACTTTTTTCTTCTATAAATCTTACAGTTTCAGCTTGCACGTTAGCTCTGTGATCTACTTTGAGTTTAACATGGGACAAGGCTGGGCAAAGGTTATTTACACACAGCTTTACACACAGCTGTGCGAGGGTCCTGGTACGTTTATGGACAACATGTTCGCTTCTCCGCTGAACTATGTTGGAACTTCTGTTGGAAGCGAAGTGACTATAAATGTGTGGCTTTGTTTCTGGAGTCCTTCTGTTCTGTTGGTCTTCACCTACACTTGTTTTGCTACTTCCACAGGGTCTAGATTACTGTAGCAACAGAAGAAGTCTGAAAACCAGGGACTCTTCTGTGTGTCTCTTCAAAATTAGCCCGGCTCTCCCAGGTCCTTGAATTTTCATGTAAATTTTAGAATAAGTCTGTAACTTTCTACAAAAAGCCTTGCCAGGATTTTGATTGTGACTGCACCGGATCTATGTATCAATTTTGGTAGATTGGCATTTTAATAACATCAGGTCCTGTGGCGCATTCACAGAGCATCTCTCTCCGTTTACTTAGGTCTTCTTCAGTTTCTCTGGCACCGTTTTGTTAGATTGATCCTTCCGACGTTCACACTTTTGATGCTATTATAAATGGTGTTTTATTACAGCTTTTATATGTTCAGTGCTGGTGTACAGAAATAAAATTAGTTTGTTGTAATAACCTGGTGTCCTGTAAAGTTACCAAACCCATCCATTGGTCTAGTAACTTTCTTGTGGGTTTCTTAGCATTTCCCACATTCGGCCAGCATGTCATCTGTGAATAAAGACAATTTTACTTCTTTTACTCCATGCTGTATGTCTCTTCTCTCTTTTCTTGCCTTACCTCTCGAGGACAATGTTGAATGAGGTGAGAGCAGATGTCCTCGCCTGGCTCCCCGCCCGGAAGGACAGCGTCGGTCTCTCCCCATCAGGCAGGACACTCGCGACAGGCCTTTCACAGAGCCCTTTACTGGGCTGAGGGCGTCTTCTCTGTTCTAGACTGCTGCGATCTTTTTTTGGGGGGGGGGTTGCTTTCACTTTCTTTCTTTCCTTTTTAACGTGAATGAGTACTAAGTCCTTTCTTTTGTGTTTTCTGTACCACTGAGATGATAATACGGTTTTTCTTTTCTGTCTGCCAGTAGAGTGAATTATAACGACTGATTTAGAATGTTAAACCAACTTCGCATCCCATCTGGTATGACGCAGTATCCTTTTCACATGTCGCTGGCTTTGATTTGCAAAAATTTTCTAATTCCTGAAAGATTTTGTCCATGATGGATACTGGTCCACGGCCCTTGTTTGGTTTTGGTGCCAGGGGGACGCTGGCCTCACCGAGTGAGCTAAGACGTGTTCCCTCCTCTCCTAACTCCCGGAGGACTTTGCAGAGAATCCGTGCTATTTCTTCCTTGAATGTTTGGTAGAATTCATCAGTGACGTCAGCCAGGCCAAGAGTACCCTTCGTTGGAAGGTTTTATATACAACTTGAAGTTGGGGGACAGGGTTACTTGGGTTGTCTACTTTGACTTGAGTGAGTTTTAGTGATTTGTTTTGTTCCAGGAATCTGCCCCTTTCGTCCACGTGGCAAACATTTCTCAGCACTGAGCGCTTCATGATATTCCCTGACCACCATTGTAGCACCTGTAGGGTTCGTGGCGATGCCTCCTCTCTCATTCCTGATTTTGGTACTTCCTCTTCTCTCCCCCTTTTTTCTGATCAGTCTAACTAGGGGTTTATCAATTTTAATGATTCTTTCACAGAAACAGCTTTCAGTGTCGTTGATTTTTCTTCTTCTGTTCATTTTCTATTTCATTGATTTCTGCTCTTTGCTCTTTATTTTTTCTTAAGGTTGAAGTCTGAATCATTGATTTGAGGCCTGTTTTATGTTCTGATATAATAATGCTACTCATTTCTAAGCACTGCTTTACTCGCGTTCCACAAAACCTGCTGCGTTGTTGTAATTCTCAGTCAGTTCAAAACGCTGTCCAGTCTTCCTCGTGATTTTCCCTCTGGGTTATTTAGAAGTGTGTTCATTTAGTTTTCAAATATTTGGGGGGGTCCAGATATCTTTTGATTACTGATTTCTAGTTTAATTCTCTGTTGGTCAGAGAAATCTTTGTAAGGTTTCAGTCCTTCTTCGTTTATCAAGATTTGTTAATAAAAAATGTTAAAAAAAAAAAAGATTTGCTTTTCGGCCCAAATTTGGTCCACCTTGGTGAAAGCTCCACGTACATGCAAAGAGTATGCATTCTGCTGTTTGAACGGGGTGCTCCATGGATTGGTGGTGCTATTCAAGCCTTTCGCATCTTTACTGATTTCCTCTCGATTATTGAAAGAGGAGCGTCGAAATATCCAGCTACAGTGGTGGGCTCACCTAATTCTCCTTTCAGTCCTGTCAGTTCTCGCTCTGTGTATTCTGAAGCTCTCATTAGGCGCGTACTCACCCAGTGCGACGTTCGCTGGATGAACGGAGCCCTCTGATCACCATGAGGTATCGCTCTCATCCCTGGTAACATTTCCTGTCCTGAAATCTGCCTTGTCTCATATTCATTTATCTGCTTGGATTATCCTTTGACTCATATTTGCAATCAATGGTATCTATTTTTCTAACCTTTTACTTTTAACCTATCCGTGTCTTTATATTTAATGTGGAAAGCACCTTTACCTAATGTTTTTTTAATCTGATCTGATACTCTGACAAAATGCCTTTTATCTGGAGTTTTCAGGCCGTCCACAATTTGATGTGATCATTGACATGGCCGGGATTAAATCTATCCTCTTTCTACCTGTCCTATCTGGGTTTGCAAAGTCAGGGATGATTAATTTTTTCAGCTTCTGAATGTCTGAGAAAGTCTTTATTTTGCCTTCACTTTGGAAAGGGATTCTGTGGCTGTGGGACTGCAGGCTGCATTTTAAAGATGCCCCTCCACCGTCTTTGGCTGCGGAGCTCCTGGTAAGAAGTCCGCTGAGATTTCACCTTGGTTTTCTCTGAACACTGTAGGTTTTTGCCTCTGGCTGCTTTTAAGATCTTCTGCTATTAAGATTTCCAGAAATTTGATTATGATTGCTGTGGTTTTCTTTATATTTCTTCTGCTTAGGATTGACTGATCTTGAAAAATAAGTTTTTTCATCAAATTTGCAAAAATCTTAGCCATTATTTCTTTCAAACATTTTCCACCACACACGCCTTTTTCTGGAATCCACGTTCACACTTGTTATTTCTCTTTTCGTGGTGCGCTGGTGCCATTCCTTTTTCCCATGTCTTTTTCCTGTGTTTCATGTTAGAAAGTTCCCAGTGCTGGATGTTCAAGAACCCTGACCCCGCCTCTGCAGCGTCGGACCTGCTGTGACCCCGCCCAGTGTGTCTTCCTCTCCAGGAGACAGGTCTTTTTATAGCCTCCATTTGCCCATCTTGGTCGTATTTTCTCTGTGACATTGAACACATGCAGCACGGTTATAACACACATTTTAACATCCTTTTCTGCCAATTCTATTATCTGGGAGGTTGTGGATCCACCCAGATCTGTTTCTGATAACTGACTTTTCTCATCTTCTGGGTTACGCTTCTCCACTCGTGTGTATGCCGAGTGCTGCTTGCTTGGTTCCGGGACACTGTGAAAACAACGTGTTGAAGGCCCGGCTTTGCTGCAGTCCCTCAAATGCTGTCAGGCTCTTTTCAGGGGTGCAGTTACCTTACTCAGAGCGGTCTGACCCTTTCAAGGCTGGTTTCAAACTTTGTTTAGGTGAGTCCTGGGGGGGCTTGCGTTGAGGGCTCTGGGGACCCTAGCCGATGCCCTTTGAACTGGGACTCCTTCCACCTGGCGGGTGAGAACACTAACTTCCTCGCAGCCCTGTGTGAACTAAGGGACTTGCTCACCTCCTCCTTTCGAGGCTCTCCCGACCTTGGTGGGATTCCCACACACGTGCGCGGATCAACACGCAGCCTCAGCCTGGGGCCCCTCGGCTCCCCAGAGCACTTTATTCATGCAGTCCTAGCCTCTCCAGTACTCCTCTCCAATGATTCTCGCCCAACACGGTCTGCCCCGCTGCCCTGTGCTCTGCGGACGCTGCCGGTGCTAAGCTGGAGGGCGGCCCCCCACTCCTGCCCTGTTGGGGGTCACCGCCTCGGGCTCCTGTTGTGCACTGTTTGAAGTCTGCAGCTTCACGTACTTTGGTTTGGTTTTCCCATGTTGCGGGTGGGGGTGAAATCCGGTCCCTGTCATCCCA